GTGTGTGTGTGTGTGTGTGTGTGTGTGTGTGTGTGTGAGAGTGAGTGTATGTATATGTGCGTACGTGGTGAAACATCAAATCAATGTGTCAGGATCTGGACAATAAAGATGTATCTTATCTTATCTTATCTTATCTTATCTTATCTTATCTTATCTTATCTTAAGCTTGGCTACGAGACGAATAAGCCTAGTTTGAATCCCCTTTGAAGATTTTGAACTTCAAATCGTTCGGGTGTTTTCAAAGTTCTCCTCAAATTTGTCAAAGTCCTGTCGGAAATGAATAGAACATTTGGAGGGCACGCCTATAAACTGCGGTTTCGGGGGTTCGAGCCTCAGCTTGGTCCGACGTTGTGTCCTTGGGGAAGACACTTTACACGAATTTTCCACTTGGCTCGGTCCTTTCGGAGATAGACGTTAAAACTCTGAGGTCCAGCCTCTTAAATAACCTATTAGTGTTGATAGGGGCGTCAAACCTATACCATTTCACAATTTCACATCCCGAAACCATTCTCTTAGTTTAAAAAAGGACGTTGAACCCATACAAGTAACCAGTAAATTACCAGTTACGCCAATGCGCTTTATCACAGTTTTGTAATAAAACCTGAACTTTAAATCTAGCCGTTGTCAGTTCATAGCAGAATCTAACCTTCCAACTTTGACCTCTACTCTGTTCTATCGGCTTTTCTTTAGATCCAGGCTCTACTCATGCTTTCTCTAATGTCTTTTTTCAACCTTCTTTCTGATCTTCCTCTTTGTTTTAGTAAGATTTTACGACGCTGACAACTGATAAGCTCATATGAGCGCCAAGGGGCGGATGTCAACAGAGAGGTCCAAATGGGGAATCAGGCTTACTCTGCTCACCTCTTTAGCCTCACAAAGTCTGCTTTGAATATCAAGGCACCCCGCAAATAGCAGGTCACAAGAGAGTGACAAACATACAAAAGAATTAGAGGAAAAAAATGACAATAGTAAGGATGAGGAAAGAAAAAGCAGCAGTTCCCCCCTATGTTGTTCCGACACAGTATGAGCATGACATTGATACAAATCAGCCTATTTACAATATCTGTTAGCCTTCATTCTGCTGATGTGACCAACCTATTCCCATTTTTCATGGATATCTTTCATCCTTAAAAAACAAAGCATTTATGTGGACTTTATTTATTCCTGTATTAAGAATATCAGGCTTGCTTTACTAATATGTGAGGCAGCGTGGTGGAATCAGGCTCTCGTCAAAATAATCAAAGTGTAGAAACTTGCATTTTTCCGCAGGTTTGTGAATTTTTATCAAATTTCTGTTTTTTGGCTCAACACCTTTCAGGCGTATTAAAGAACTCATTTCGATGCGGATTTTTCTGAAAAACGTTGATTAAAGGTACAATAAATGTAAATTTTCAGTTACCACGGACTCTTAGGTTAAGGAAATAATTATCTTTGGCGGCCATTTTCTCACAAATGTTACCTCTGAAAACAGGTGACCACCTCCTCCTTCTTTTGCAAATATCTCCACTTGTATTCAAGATAAATGGATATTTTTTTTCTTTCAAATAAAGACAAGCGAAAAAGCTTTAAGATGATACCAATAGAGAGCTTGATTCCACCTCGCTGCCTCACATATAACCCCCACTCTCAACCACACCCACTCACTTCAATACGCAGACACCGACATCTTTCATTCAAAGTAAGGCTCTACCTCGTTGTTCACAGATTCCCAGTAAGGAAAATCTTTTAGAATTCTTCATTTGTTCCTTTGCAGAGAAACTCACAAATTACGTCAGCTAAAAATTGGCCAAAAATGACCCCTCCCTCTCCCCCCCCCCCTCCCCCAATTTCCTCGGCTTGTCATCTTCTGTCATCAACCCAAATGTGAAGCGTGCTGACAAAATGAGTTACTTCTCGCAATCCACAAACGGAAATATTATCCAAAAGTCCACACTATAGGGTCAGATTAGTAGATTTTCTATTGACGCCACATTCTTTTTGTATAACGTGCCGTTTATTATTCGATACATATAAATTGTAAAAACTTCACCAAATAGCGTGATGTATTTATTTCAATAAGGCTTGGATTCGAAAAGTAACTCATTTTGTCGCCACGCTTCCCAAATGTACATGTACATTTCGATGGAGCATTACAGGATGCATTAATTATATTCACACCTTTGTTCTTTATTTTACATAAAAAAACAAAACAAAATAAAAACAACTCATATTCTAGTTGTAATTTAACCTCTGGCAGTCTGTACTGTGGGGATATTACTGTTTATGGTTTTCGGCAAAAAAAAAAATAAAAAAATATAGTCTAATTTAACTGTGTTAATATTAGGCCAAGAAAATAATGTTGTCTATAATATTTTATCTTCCTTTCTTTTCCTCCCCCCCCCCCCCCGCAACATTTTAGGGCATGGTTGACGACAACTTTGCAAAGACCCCTCCCCCTCGTCAACTTTTGTCAACTTTTCACTGACACCCCCCCCACCCCCACCCCTGAGCTGACGTAATTTGTGAACGATTTTTAGCAACACCCTTGATCTTAGGGTAGGAAGGATCTAACACCTAGTCTTCTCGGATAAGAGCGAAAAATCTCCGTGGTCCCATGTGCAAATTGCGCACGTTCAAAATCCCTTGGTGGTCAAACATCGATGAGTAGGCTTCGGCCGCCACCAGGGCAAAATTCCAAATGTCACCAACTGCACATGTTTCTAGTGTGTCCCGCGCGCTCATATGACCTTATGCAGTTGTGAGCGCCCTAAAAGACTTACACTAAAAACCCACAAAAAACCCCCTTATCCCCCACCCAAAAAAACAAACCCCAAAGAACAAACAAACAAACAAACAAACAAACAAACAAACAAACAAACAAACAAACAAACCCAGCAACAACCGAACCAAAACCAAACAATCAAACAAAACAAACACGTCTGCTATACCAGTCTTCCTTCTGTGTGTTCCCAGCTGCTCCCGGAGCGACTACACTGGCGCCGAGAGCTTGTGCTGCCGGAAGTTGTCGTGCAGACCCCGCCAGTGTTATGCCCGAAGCCACTGCGCACCAGACGAAAGATGCGAGACTTCCGCACCAGGCGCCTTAGGGGTCTGTACTCCTGACGATCTCAGCGAAATCAGCGGCAGCGGTGACGTCAGCACTGACGATGGCGGCTTTGGAGACATGGAGCAGTAGTTTCGTTGCTGTCCTCGCTTAAGGAAGTGATTCCAAGAGTTCTTGATTCCGTCTGATGAATGTTGACAATGACTATCCTCTCTTTCTGTGTTCTTTCCTCGCGTTTTTTTTTTTCGTTTTTAAAGCTACTTTGTTATTTGTTATTTATGTTTTTTTCTTGTATTTGGAAATTTTATTGGTTAAAGGATTATCTTTTTAAATTGTATTTTTTTGTTTGTTTTGCAAGTGAAAGGCCCCTCGATCTACTTCAGGGTCGAACTTTCTTTCTTTCGATCTTTCTGTTTCGTTCGTCATTGTTGTGATAATTGCAATCGTTACTCTCTGGTGTAGATATCTACTAAATAACAAAACGTCAAGAGAGTGATTGATTGGGTCTTTTACCAAATTAAATACCTTGTCCATCAGCGAAATGAGATAGACTTACGAAACTACCGCCTGTTCAAAACAATAAAGTTGAAGTGTGAGCCAGGACCAACGAATTTATATTTGATTTGTTTGTTTGTTCGTGTGTCTGTTTCGTTTTGTAACATAATGCTCACCGAGAGACTTTTGGAAACTGAAATTGGTCGCTTTTAAGGACATGCGGGCTAACCCTGATTTCGAGGGTTTCCAGAAATCTTGACCTACACCAAAAGTGGGCATTGTCCTACCTATTGGAGAAGTTTGGTTTCATTGGTGTGTATATTTGTTTAGTTATAGAGAAAACTCTCCTTGGCTTTTAAAGAAACTGAACAAGGGGAAAAGTAAAAGACTTTACCTTCGATTTTCTCAAAACAGCATTTTTCGGGATGGCCCCCTTGTGCTTAAAAGTGACCAATGTACACATAGATATGAGGAGGAATCGGCTCTTTATAATCAGAAAAACAAAACAGGGCGGGGGGAGGCAGGTGTCAACATAGCATCATACTTTTAGTTTGAGTTTTACGACACTTGCAACACAAATTAATACGTCATATACGTGGCGAGATGAAGACGATAGAGGTTTGATGGGAAGGAAGGAGTAAACCACACCAGAGCACCCGTCAACCACTCTCACATCTTACTTTATAAGACCCTGTTTATACGTAACGTGTCTTCTTCAAACCTAAGGTGAGAGCGTATTTTGCTATTCAGTCTCAGGTAAAAAATGACACCCACAGACATATTCTTATTCGTTCCGGCACACGCACAGCAGATGTCATATTTATCATTTTGAATATATATTTCCGTGTAGAGCTACATTTTCAACGTGTTTCGCTTTGTCTACCGCGCCAAAGTCGTTTAACCAAACTGCATTGAATTTTTCAATTTCTGAAAGACCGTATAAAGTGCCCATTCATTATCCCGTGTTTCCTCCGATAGAAGTTTGGTCACCCACATGATCGCTCTGTTGGCTTGCCAGTTCTCCCCAGTTCACAATGTCAGTTCCTTGCGGGAGATAGAGAGCATAAGGCCATGTGCTGGAGAAATTTCTAAAATCGATATAACTTGACTGTATATAGCAACGACAATATGTTCATATTAGTCAGACATCAAAGAATAAATTCAAGTAATTATTTGTTATTATAAGCACATGGTAACCATGGTAACCAAACAAAAATTTGCCATATTGGATTATTTCATCAAATTTCAAAAGCTATCTTTTCTCTCAGTTTTTGTCCATTGGCTTTCAGTTTTAGCAAGTACAAACTACAACCTTTATGTTATGAACAAATAAAGCCAGATTTGTAATAATACGATTATGAAAACAATTACGGACTCTGGAAATATTTACATGGATAAATAGCAAAAAAATCTCCAAATTCTCAACAAAAACACTGATTGTAATTTTATTCTTTTATTATCTTCAAACAGAGCGCTGTTTCAGTACATGTCACCTGTGAATGTACATTGTGTAAAATAATGAAGCTATTCAGATTTAAAATAAAGGAGAAGATGTCATTTAAAGTCGGAAAAATAAATATTTGACAAAAATGAAGATAATATTTTTTTAATGACCCAAAATTGCAAAATATTTTTTAAAAACCCATTTTTTAAATGACTTCGAAACATAATTGATTGAAGCGGACGCTCGAAACTTTGATGGAAATGGATGTAGGTTTCAAAGATGGAGAGGGAAAATGTATGGTCAAACTGGGTAAAAATGGGGAAAATCTCACTCGTAGATGGCCAGCCTTTAAGGGACATGCCGCAAACATAGGCTACCTTCCACCTATATCAAGTCTCAAGATCAAGTGATGGCTTAGTTTCCTGGAGCAGTCAAATGCCGAATGACCAGAGGGCATGTCTTTAGCTAATTAAAACACAGAGTTCAGATATCCACATTCACCTTCTCCGGAGCAACCTAAAGACAAAACTGTCTTCTTTGTTTGTTTGTTTGTTTTGTTTGTTTTTGTAAAGTGTTTTTACGGCACTCGCAACTGCATAAAGTCATATGAGCGCGCTGGACACACCTAATATTTTCTGTTGGTAGGAAATTTTTAATTTTGCCCGGGTGGCGGCCGAAGCCTACTCTTATCGATTTTAGGCCACCAACGGATCTTTAAAGTGCGCAACTTGCACACGGGCCCTCCGAGATTTTTCGCCCTTGTCCGAGAAGGCTAAGTGTAGATCTTTCCTACCAGAAGATCAGGGGTGTGGCTGAACGACAGCAGTTAGGAGGAGCCAAGGAGGGAGTAGCAGTAGAAAGGCTGCAGAAAGAGTCAGGAGCCCAGAGGAGGGGGCAAAGGAGGTGAGGGAGTGGGGACAGAAAGTGGAGACGAAAGCAGACACTGTCTTCTTTACTGAATGGGTTTTGTTGTCTATTAAGGAGGGGGGGGGGGGGGGTTACACCCCCAAAGCCCCGATACGGCTCAAAATTATGGAATTTGAGTTGTATGCATTTTTAGCTTCCTCAGCCTCTCCTACAACTATTTCATCGCTTAAGAACCCCCCCCCCCCCAAACCGTATTTTTTTCCCATACCGGGCATGTTTATCACTACCATTTCCTCGTAAAGTCAATATTTTATTTTTCTTTACCGGCCGTTTTCTCAAAATGCGACTTTTCTCTTTACTTTTTTGAATAACTCCACCATTTCTTATCCAATCTTCACGAAATTTTCAGTTTCACAGAACGAAGAAAAGATGTAATACTAAAATTTTGTCCGCTGAGTTTTTTATATTTGCAATAGCTTTTTGTTGGTGGTGTCTTGAATGTGAATTTTCACGGATTTTTTGTAAACTTGAATGGTACCTCAGAAAAAAATTCATAAAACTTTAAAAAATTCGTTTACGAAAAAAACAACAGACAAATTTTTAGATCTAATGTTTGTGAACACGCATGCAAAAAACCCCAACAACAATCAATTTCCATGAGCAGTAAGTGCGGTATTCATTACGTAAGACATGTCAACAAAATCCAACATGGCCGCTGTATCCATGGAAACGAAACTTTTTTGTCAAATTTGATTGCGGATTTCAAAACTCCTTACTATGCTTGTTATATGTGTGAAATGTGGTAAAATTCGGTCCAGTAATTTATAAGCGAGATAGCCTTCAGGTGTAAACCCCCCCCCCCCTTAAAGCTATTGTTGGAGATAGGGAAAGCATTTTGTTCACGATAATACAACATCGTATTCGTCAAGAGAAGCTAACAGATTTTTTTTATCATGGTACTGTACCAAAAATGTACAAATGCACTCTGTGGGTGGTTGGCGGGTGCTCTGATGTGGTTTGCTTCTTCTTTCTTATCAAACATCTATCGTCTATGTCTCCCCTCCTTCTTTTTCTGTGTTTGTTACTCTCTTGTAGCACCTCTAATCTTCGGCACTTATATGACCTTATTGTATTACAAGAGCCGTAAAACTCTTACTATAAGTCAATTGCACTCTCGACATTGGTTTATTTGAAAAGTTTCCCGGCTCCCCCCCCCCAAACTTATTCATAAAAGAGATGAACGTTAAATCGCAGGTCTTGCTTCTCAAGCTGTAAATCTACTGTTTTAATAATTCTATTTGTGAGGCAACGTGGTGGAATCAGGCTCTCGTCAATTTTTGGGCATATTGAGTTATTGGTATCATCTAAGATCTTGTTCATTTGTCTTTGTTTGGATGAAAAAATATCCATTTATCTTCAATAGAAGTGGAGATATTTTGGATTGAAAAAGGTGGGGGTCACCTGGTTTAAGAGGTAAAATTAGCGAGAAAATGGCCGTCAAAGCTTGGTAAATTCCAAAGCTGAAGAGTCCATAAAAACTGTAAATTTATATCTCTGTGCCTTTAATCAACGTTTTCGGTGAATTCCTCAAAGGAATGTGTTTGTAAATGGACGTACAAGGTGTTGAGCCAAAAAACAAATATTTGATAAAAATTGCTAAGCAGGGAGAAAACTGCTGTTTTCATCGATTTCATTATTTTGACGAGAGCCTGATTCCACCGCGCTGCCTCACATTTACCTTGCAACACGGAAGTCTGGTCTTTCCCATCATTAAACCGGACACTGGTTCAAGCCTGTTGTCTTGTTTTAATGGGGAGAAGAGCTTTGATCTTTCGGCGAAAGTATCCGGTAATTATGTGCACTTTCCTGCTTGTCCTCTGGGAGGAAAGTAGAAGAAATGTGTGAGGCAGCGTGGAGGAATCAGGCTCTCGTCAAAATAATCAAAGTGGAGAAACTTGCATTTTTCCGCAGGTTTGTGAATTTTTCTCAATTTGTTTTTGATTCAACACATGTCATACCCATTAAAGAAGTCATTTCTGTGTTGATTTTTCAGAAAATCGTTGATTAAAGACACAAAAAATGTGAATTTTCAGTTACCACGGACTCTTAAGCTAAGGAAATAAATAATCTTTGGCGGCCATTTTCTCACTTATTTTACCTCTGAAAACAGGTGACCTCCACCTCCTTCTTTCGCAAACATCTCGACCTGTACCCAAGATAAATGGATATTTTTTCCCTCCAAATAAAGACAAGTGAACAAGCTTTAAGGTGATACCAATAACTCTACATGCCCAAATATTGATGAGAGCCTGATTCCACCACGATGCCTCACAAATGTTCAAAGAGAGCCTTCTACGGCTTGTTTTACATGTTACAAGCAGAGCTGGGCGAAGAATCAATTCCGGAACCGATTCCCACTGCGCGAATGAAAAGGTCCGACTCCTTTTTACGTAAGCCAACGGTTAGGGGGGAAAATTTATTATTGAAAACTGAAAGTTGAGGCTTGGTAGTGTTCCGAAATCAAGGTTCTCCTAAATCCTGAAGATGTTCAGAGCCAACATGGTAACCACCAGAAGAAATCACATCGTTAGAAAGAAAGTAATTGGGTTCGGAGTCGATTCCAACGATTCCAAGATTTCAATAATCGGGAACCTAGCCGCCCAGCACTAGTTACAAGTCTGTTCATTGTTCTGGATGCATTTAAGGTCAGCATTGGCGCATTTTGGATTAAAAAAAACAACTTGGTATCTTTAAAGCAAAGATTAAAGAAACATTTTAAAAAGACAACAGCAAACAA